TACAAATTTTGTACTATATTTATATAAGTTTTCAATATTATTTTAAATTTCTTAGCATTATATTATCCATAATCATTTTTGGCCTAATTTGAGAATTTGGTTAAAAATCAAATTTTGATTTTTAATCTATTTTGAGTCATATTATTTCTCTATTTTTTTACACATTTTTTCAAAAAAAATCAAAAGCTAGCTTTTAACTAAGGAATTTTTTTTAGGATTCCTGATATTAAGATTTTATAGCATAAAGGACATCTAGTATTTTCATAATGTCTAAAGTCCCTCAAATTAATCTAGAGAAAATTAGATTCAGAGAAATTCTCTGGATTTCACAGAGAAATTCTCTCTAGTGGGCTCCCAGAATTTCTCTAGACTTTCCCAACCCAGAGAAATTCTCCCAAACCTAGAGAAATTCTCTTTAAAATTAGAGAAATTCCATTTGCTAACTCTCTACTCATCTCTTAGACCCACTTCATCTTCTTTACCATCTTCATCACAAACCTTCAACCTAATAATATTCAAATTTTTGGTTTCTTCCCATTTCACACATTTTCTCAACAACCAAACACGCAAACCACTAATACAAATTCTAGAGAAATTCTCCCAAACCCAGATAAATTCTCTCTAAAATTTAAAGAAATTCCATTTTCTAGTTCTCTACTCATCTTTCAGACCCACTTCATCTTTTACACCATCTTCATCACGAGACCTTCAACCTAATAATATTCAAATTTTAAGTTTCTTTCCATTTCACACATTTTCTCAACAACCAAACACGCAACAATTTCTCTGGACTCCTATTATTTCTCTAGACTTTCCGGAGAAATTCTCCCAGACCCAGAGAAATTCTTTTCAAAATCAGAGAAATTTCATTTTCTAGCTCTCTACTCATCTCTCAGACCCGCTTCATCTTCTTCACCATCTTCATCACAGACCTTCAACCTAATAATATTCAAATTTTAAATTTCTTCCCATTTCACACATTTTCTCAGCAACCAAACACGCAACCACTGATACAAAGTCCAGAGAAATTCTTTCCAGAATTTCTTTGGAATCCCCAACTTAGAGAAATTCTCTTAAAACCATAGAAATTTCCAGGCAAACCTTTCCAGAGAAATTCTCTCCAAAATCAGAGAAAATTGATTTTCTATGATTTCCAACATCTCTCAGACCCACTTCATCTTCTTCATCATATTCATCATAGACCTTCAACCTAATAATATTCAAATTTTAAGTTTCTTTTCATTTCACACATTTTCTCAACAACCAAACACGCAACTACTGATACAACAATCAACTAATCAATAAAGCATAAAGAACCTAATTGAGCAATTTTCACAATGACCATCACCATCATCATCATCTAAAATAGCACTTAAATTCATCAATCTTCATAGTTACATATACATATATATGTGTGTATAATTCACATGAAAATAGGGCGAAGAAGAGAGGAGGATTGGTGGACCCAAAACTAGGAATCAAATAGAATCGCTACTAATTCGCTTGCTGAAAGGGTCATTGTCGAAGAAAAAACCCAATGGGTAGGTCTGGTGGGTCTATGCTTGATACAGGGCCAACCCGAATAGGGCTCCGGCCTCTCAAACCCACTTCATCTTCTTCATCATCTTCATCACAGAGCTTCACTTTGTCTATCTATGCAAAGAAAGATTATAATCGCTGGAGATGGAAGTTTCCAGCGAGAAGAGTAGAGATCGGAGACGAGCATGGGCATGGCGATAAGAATGGGAACAATCTGGAAGATCAAGACTGTTTCTTTAGAGAGAGAACATTTTAGAGAGAGAAAGATACGTAGAGATGAAAGAGAGGGAGGGGAAGAGATGAATTTAGCAGAAGAGTTTAGAGTGAGAGATAGAGAAAAAAATGAGGTTTGATTTGAGAAATTTTTCTGTGATATATGAGTGTGGGGGTTGAGGGACCTTAGATATCATAAAATAATGTTGTGAATCTTTTCTATTACTAAATATGAGAGAGAGACCTTAGACTAATTTTTTCTTTAACTAACTTCTCAAAACAATTTGTCTATTTCCATATAAAAATTGTAAGAAAAATATCAAATCAGTAGTTATTTCAAAAAATAATTATAAATTTCATAAATGTTAATAATTAAAATTATAAAATTTTCATTAATATGTAATTATTTATTTAAAATTTCACTGGAGTGTATATATCTCAAAATTAAATGAGCAGTTCTATAGTCTAAAAAAGATCAGAAAAGTAATTAGAAATTATGTTAAATAGTTGAGATTAATTTCATGTATTATGCATCTCACTGTATAATCACACCCTATTTTGTTGGTTTGTATTGTTAGTATGAATTGTCTGAATTATTCCTTTATTTATTTATTTTTTTAATCTCATTTGGATCAACTTTTCTAGTAGCTTTTAGGTCTCGTTTGGAAATAGATTTTTTTTAATAATTTTTTAACTTTTTGGTTAAAATATGATGTAAAAAACTAATATGTTTGGAATAATTTTTTTATTTTTTACGAAAAAATATGCAAAAAATAGAAAGAAAAGAGAATCTTTGATTTTTTGATATAGATTGTTAACTTTTTAATTTTTTTAGTGACTTTTTGATTTTTTAGCTAAAAAGTCACTTACCAAATAAGGCCTTACTATGACTTTTTTGCAATCAATATTTAATAAATCAAAACTTAATTTTTATAGAAAAATAAAGAGCTGATATGATAATTTGTAACAAATAAGTTGCTTATTTAGATTGTTGCCAAACCACCCTTAGTATAAGTAGTGTGTTTTTTTTTTTTAAATTTTTAATTTTTTTTTAAATTTTATTCCACCGAAAAAAAACACTGAAAAGTTTTGATGTATCGATAAGGATAATTACTATATATATATATATATATTTCTAGAGGATAGCGGTGTCCAAGTTAGCTTATGTACTTAATTCTCTTCTCACTTCGGTTAAAGACAAGCTATCCATGTCGAAATTTAAAAATTAACATGAATTTACTTTCTTCCGGCCTAACTTTAAAAGATATCATAATTTGAATATATATACAAAATTAAAACACATACAAATTAAAAATATAAATAGAGTCATTTCTTGTGAAAGTAATGAAAACTAACGAATGAGAATAATTTTGGTACCCTTATCATGCTAACATATTTATTTTCGGAACTTTTTGATAATGTAAGGATATTACATTTGATAGTCCCATCATGGAATCATGATCCCCTGCTTACATTTCCTACCTGTAGGGTTATTGGGCTCAGTTTTAGGCTTAATTTTAATAATCCGAACTATTCATATTTTAAGATTTGTTCAGTATATCATACCTGTAAAAAATTAAGTTGAGCGGATATCAAAAAGTATGTGTTTGGAAAACTGTTTATTAAATTCTTTAAAAAAATAATTTTTAGTTCAAGTTTTCCGAACACATGTTTTCTGATAATCGATCAACTTAATTTTTTACAGGTATGATATACTGAACAAATCTTAAAATATGAACGGTTTAGATTATTAAAATTAAATCTAAAAGTAGACCCAACAACCCTACAAATAGAAAATGTAATGACGAGATCTTGATTCCCCATCATGATGCATATGTTTTTTTATTATTTAAGAAGAATACATTGCCCGGTCATGTACGTGTAAATTCTTTATACCATTCTATCATTAATCAATTTTTTTTTTTTGTTTAATATGAGAAATATAAACTCTCTTTGAACAAGTGTTTTGTTAAATAAACAATTCACCAAAATAATTAACGAAAATACACTTCGTAATTCCATCCCGAGAACATTTATGCTTTGTTTGGTTGGGGGATTTGGAGAGGGATTTGGAAAGAGAAAGGAAAAATGTGTGTGAAACTAGGTGAAATGTAGGTACATTTTATTCACATTTCACCTAACTTTTCCCTTTTCCTTTCCAAATCTCTTCTCAAATTCTCCAACCAAACACAGCGTTAGTAGCCTCATCAACTGATGTGAAAATTCTTTGTACTTTTTTTATTTTTAATGTAATTTTTTTTAATTATTTTTTTAAGGTAACATTTCTCCTCAATTCGAAATTGTACTAGAGGATGCTATTGATGTGCCGTGGGTCCTATTCTGGATCCATCTCGATGATTCAAACTGTTAAATGTGTAAAGTTTGTTGAGTATATTGGTCATATTTAGTTTGTATTTGTGAAACAATTTAAAAAAATAATTTTTTGAATAGAGTTTGTAAAATTTAAAAATTTATTTGATTGTATGTTTTGAAAATAATTTTAGAGTTTTGAATGATTTAATTTTTTTTTTATAATTGAATAGATGTGTGTGAGAGAAAAAATAATTGATTAATGTGTAGAATGTGATGGAAAGAGAGATGAGAGCAAAAAAAAAAAAAATTGATTGATGTGTAGTAGGAAGAAAAGTAATTTTGATTTTTCAAAAAAAAAACTTGTCTAAACTAAACAACGCCATTATCTTTGTAAAAATAAACTGTTGACATAAATATAATCTGAACAACTAAGTTATTAATGTCCAATTAACTTAATTTTTTATAAAAATAATATACTTAACAAATCTAACTCATTTAATAATTTGAATCATTAAAATAAATCTAGAACCGGGTCTATCTGGCACCAACAACACCGTATACCTTGGATCGAATTGAAACATTTATTTATTTATTTTTAAATTTTTTTTTGAAAAAGAACATGTGTTTTGTTGGATAAATAATTCACCAAAAATAATGTCCCACCATTTGTTTAGTAATTTTTGTGGTGTGCGCGCTAGTGGCACTATTTTTCTTTTTCATATATATATATATATATATATATCTGCATGGCAACATGCCATAACTTTTTAAATCATATTTAAAAGCATAGGGGCAGCTTCGAATGCATAAGCCCAAACAGATTAGACACACACCTAATCACCTTCTATTAATTAATTGCTTAATCAAACATTAAAAAATTGTCCAATGTCTCTGTAATAAAATGCAAGTCTTTGTCCCACCGTGGAATTTTCACTCTCTCTCTCTCTCCGCTCTCTCAAAAGCTACAAAAGACCTCGACATGGGTCTTCCCTTTTTAATCCACGAGGGGTAGGAGAAATCATGTTGACGCTCACTGTATCTGCTTCGACCTCGCCCCGACACTGAACCAATCTCTCTCTCTCTCTCTCTCTCTCTCTCTCTGTTCACTGTTCATTCTGGTAAGCAAAAAAATAAAAAATAAAAAAATAAAAACACTTTGCTGTTAATTTTCCTGATCAAGAATGCTTTGACAGTCTACTTTCCATATGGGTCTTGCTCTATTTGCTGCTTTTTCCCCATGCTTTGACAGTTTTTTGACTGTTTGTGTGTGATCTTGAGCATTCTTGTGATTCCTTATCTTGGTTGAATTAAGGTTCTACTATTGATTTTTTTTTTTTTGTGGGTTTGTCTCCATAGTAGTTGTTTTTGTACTTTGTATATCTTCTGTATGATTTATTGTCAACTTGAGGTTTCTCTTGATTTTTGAGTTACCCATTAGTTCCATTCCTTTTTTTTTTTTTTTCCCTGTTTAATTGAGAATGTATAGTGATTTTGTGTTGGGTTATATGGGATGTAAGCTGATTCTTTCATATTTTCTATACTTTTGTGGGTTTGAAGAAACAAAAAAATTCTTTCCCCCCAAAAAAAAAAAAAAAAAAAAAAAAAAAACACATAAAATAATTTGAATCTATAGTGTAGATTTAAGTATGGTGTGTGTGGCTTGAATCTGATCCACAATTCTCAAAGTCTAGGCACTTTTCTGAGTAATTTTTCTGGGTATGTTGCATTCATGAGAAAGCTGGATTTGGCTGAGAAATTTTATTTTCTGATTTGTGGTTTTTAATGATGTTCATTCAGAGAATGGAGTCTTGGAGGCATGCTTTGGAAGAGAAGAGTCCTTTCTTATGTGATGAAAAAGTGTCAGTGGGATGGAACATGAAACCCTCTTGTAATTTTGATTCCATGTTAGGCTCTAATAGAGAAGCAATTGAGGGCATGGAATTTGTGGAAATGGGTTTTCCTGATATGATGAGAAAATTAGATCCTATGAATTCATGTTTGGATGCTTTGAATGGTGAGATTGGTGATTATTTTAGCAGAACACTACATTCCCCTGCTTATAGCAACACTTCAAATTCCTCTTTTGGGGAATTGGACCCTGGGTTAAGCCTTTCAAGCCCTGTCATTGTATCTAATACTCAAAAATCATCACTAATTGATTTGAAGTTGGGGAGGTTGGGTGATTGCAAAGAAGCCAAGAATAGTATATTTTCGAACGAAATATCAGTTTTATCTTCATCTGGATCTTCATTGAAATCAAAGAGAGCTCGTCTGGAGAATTTGTCTTCTCAGAATCCTGTTTGCCAAGTTCACGGGTGTAACAAGGACTTAAGCTCCTCAAAGAGTTACCACAAAAGGCATAAAGTTTGTGATATTCACTCAAAGACTGCTAGAGTTATTGTCAATAGCATTGAGCAAAGGTTTTGTCAACAGTGTAGCAGGTATGACAGCTCTCATTGCCTTATAATATATTGTTTTGTTCACAATGTATTGCATTAGGGAACAAAAAAACAAAAAAAGTTGTTACCTTCTTCCCCCCCTTTTTTTTTTTCCTCCTAATTTTGGTTTTTCGGGGCAATTCCCGTGTATTCTTCAGCTCATGATAAAACCCCAAAAATGGTGACTGTAAATATCAGTTACCCAAAAAAAGAGTCATGCAAGAATAATTAAGGTTTTAGCTTTGGGTGAGTTCTATCTAGTAGGTTTATGTGCAATTGGATCCATCCTTAAATTCAATGATGGACTTAATTGATTTCCAATGCTTAACTTGACACTCTACACTGGTATTATGTAGATTATATTGACTGTCTGTGTTGTTTTTCGATATGTTCTCCTTTCAGACTCACAATTTTGATAGAAAACAAGTTGTTTCTTATACCAGGTTTCATTTGCTGGCTGAATTTGATGATGGAAAACGCAGTTGTCGAAAACGCCTTGCAGGCCACAATGAGCGTCGAAGAAAGCCTCAATTGGATTTTGTCTCTGGTAAGCCGCACAAGTTACTTCGATATTATGATGGTATCAACTCCTCTGCCCTTTTTCCCTTCCAACTGTTGTGTGTCATATTCAATCACCCTGGCTTTGTCCTAAAAAGAAACTTCTAAATGGTTAACTAGTATTTAGATATATGTCACTAATATGCAAGACTAGTGACAGACTCGATCTCAGAAACAGAACTCTTATTTCTCCCACCCTATCGAGACTTGCAATTAAAAGCGACACTTTGTTTTTCTCCTTATACCATATTCGTTATGTCTTGTTGTCTTGACTATTAAATTTGTCAGTTTATGAAGAGGACAATTTACTAACATAATTCTTCCTCAACGCGTGAAGCGAAATTTAAAAGAAAAATGGAACCCAACTTTTTGCAGGACAGCAAGATGCCAAGATCATTCAATTAATGTACACTAAACCTAACCCACGAACCTAACCCACTACATCCACCCCACTAAACCTAACACACTTACCATCTCCACTACCACCCACCACCTCCACTACCATCCACTACCACCACTCACTTACCTCAAGAACCTATTCATTCTGCTTCACCGGCGGGCGGCAGCCTCGCTTTGGCTGCCCGCCGGACCTCTACACATACCTTGATCACTCTACATGTGCTTCCTCCCCAGCTGCTGCTTGGAAGCTTGGGTTATTCCCAAGTGCCTTAGTAAGATCTTCAGGAGACAGCCTAGTTAAATCAGCCCCAAGTTTCCTTTTTTTTTTTTCTTCACTAGAAAATTTTCTGCAATTCTGAACCAACATTTCTCTGAGTTCTTCCAACTGCATATCGACCTCGTAAATTTCATTACTTAGATCCCTAGCCATTTTCGCATGTGCTGCTTCCTGCGCAAGCTTCATCTTTATTTCTACCTATCCCACTGTTGGTGAGCCCAAGTTTCCATCACACTACACTTGATCAGCTTCAACAGGTGGCTATTAGCACACTGTCATCTTCAGTCTGCCATGTAACCCAACCCTCAAGACCACCATGGAAACCAATCATCAACTCCGGCGAGGCACCCAGAACACGTCCCATGCATCTAGTCAACTCGAGCCAATCTGCGACGGCGTATAGAATTGGAATGCCTCTGATGCACACTCCAGCTTCTCCGGCCACTGCTCGAGCCAAACGGGTCTTCCCTATACCCGGAGGTCTTCTCTGGTTTCACTTCCGACTCTGTTCTTCCGTCTCACCTCGAGCCTCGCTTCCGCAGGCTCAAGTCCTTACCAACAACAACCACAAAAATCCATGTCTCCTCTCGGCAACTCTCTTTTCCGGCAAACACACACCAAACCCAGCTCTCTTCTCTCTCTCTACTCCTCTCTCGAACCAGAGCTTTGTCATCGATGGCAGATCTCTCTCCACCGCCACGATGAACAACGGCAGTACTCATCAAGCTGGGCCGTCATACTGGGATCCTCCTCCTCCTCCAGTAACAACAGCCGCAGGGAACTCCGAGAAATGGGGGACCCACATCATGGGTGCACCTGCTGTACCCACTTCTCACCTCGCCAATCAAAAGGCCGCCTTATGGATAACAGGAGGTGGGTTTGAGTCTTTGTACAAGCAGACTTTCGCAACCTTCCCAAATGAGAGCTCAAGAAGACGTTTGCCTGTTACCTCTCCACCCATTCTCTCTCTCTCACTTTGCACCCACTCTCCCAATCCACCACATGGCCAACCGACTCAACATAATATATCTTATCCCAACTTTCATCATTAACCACACCAGCACTCACTTCCCTCTTTTATTTCTTTATTTTACACACTTTTCCACTGAAAGTGAGCCAGCCATTTTCAAATAATTTTCCATTACATTTTTATTTTACAAAAAAAAAAAAAAAAAAAAAAAAACAAAACAAAACTACATTCATTCAAACAACAACAACAACAACAAAACTACATTCATTCCAGTTGTTTTTCTGCCTTACCACACCTCCCATTCGAATTTGCAAAACACCCATATTTTATTCATCTCCGGGCTCAACCCCGATCACCATTTTACACAAAAAAAAAAAAAAAAAAAAACAAACATCACCACAAACACCCACCTACAGGCGGGACTTTTTTTTCCATCTCCTTCTCTACTCTGCCGCCGGTCTTTTCTTCTTGCTTCCGTCCTGGGCGGCCCTTGCCGGTGTTGCCTCCGTGTTTCCCACTCCACTGGCAGATCACTACTCTCTGCTCCTCCACTGCAGCATATGGCGGCCCTCCAAATCGGAACATCCGGTGGGCCTTCCGCTTCAGCTCCTTGTTTTTGCCCTTAGCACCGCTTTCTCTATGCTCGCGCATTCCTATATACATGCGTCATGGCAGAAGCCCACTGACTCGGTTTTAATTGCTGCACCTATTTCGTCCTACTCTGCAGCGCCGTGTGCGACAAAAGTTCTGACCGCCGTCATGGACTCCACACATGCCTTCAATAGTACTACTATTGAGCCTCCACATCCGTTGCACTGCCATTTTTTTGCCTCCACGACTGCATCGGAAATGTTCAACGGCAGCAAACCCACTGCTAAGTGTCTGTGAGTGTTTCACGGGGAACACCGCGACCCGCTATCGTTATCTCTCTTGTTGACTCGTTGAGGTCGGGAAAGAGGGTGAGCAGGCCACGGGACGACGAAGCCATTTTCTCTCGCAACAGAGTGTTACAGACTCTCTCTCTCAGCACAACAGTGTTACAGCCTCTCTCTCTCAGCACAACGAAGAGTTTTACAGAGGATTTCGCCGGTTTTTTGCTTCTGTCTCGGCCTCAGGCTCTGTCTTGGTTAAATAGCCGAGGCAGCCACGCGCATCGCGCGCCTCTTGACGCCAGACAAACGGGCACGCCAGCCAAAGCACTCACGTGCCTCGCCATCATATTTGGCACTCCTTTTGATGCATCAGGCACGCCTTTTGATGGCATGCCTTTTGACAGATTGGGCACACCTTTTGAGGGCACAACTTTTAAGGGCTCGATATCTACATCCATGTATATTTTTTGGGCAGCCTATATACACACTCATACAGTGTCTTCTACACCAGTCAGCTTTATCAATCCCTTTGTTTCAACCTCAAATAGGTTTCTATCTTCACACCTATTTGAGTTTGAGGGGGGGTTATACACAGTATCATGTATAAGTCGCTCATGGCGCACTCCCTAAGTCGCCCCCTTGGTGCACCACCACAACCTCTTCTACAACGGTCCGACATGACCCCATAAACTGTATTCTACATCGGTCTGACACGACCACACAGTGTCTGCTACATCGGTCCAGCATGACCTCGTAAACTGTCCTGCTACATCGGTCCGACATGACCCCATAAACTGTCCTCCTCGGTGCACAACCACAGCTGCTACAACGGTCCGACATGACCCCGTAAACTGTCTTCTACAACGGTCCGACATGACCCCGTAAACTGTCCTGCTACATCGGTCCGACATGACCCCGTAAACTGTCTGCTACAACGGTCCGACATGACCCCATAAACTGTCTGCTACATCGGTCTGACACAACCATACAGTGTCTCCTATTCCATTTTTAATTTGTCAGCTTATTTTTCTGTTTTGTTACTCTCTCCAAACTCAAGTTGACTAGTATCTATCCTCCTTGAGTTTGAGGGGGGCTGTTAATGTAAATTGTATTAACCTACCACTGTAAATTGTATTAACCTACCACTACCACCTACCACACACACTCACCTCATCACCTACTCCTCACCTAACCTACCACTACCACCTCCACTTCACCCTCTACCACTTCACCTACTACCTTCTTCTCTTCTATATATATGATCATTGTAAACATAACAAATACAACATCAATACATATCAATCAATAATATACATCTCAATTTATTTTACAATATATGTGATTTAATCATATGATTACTTATGTCTAATCAATCTAATTTTTTACATGTATGTTCTTCTTAACTTATTATCTAAGATAAATGATTAACATGAGTACTGTAAAAAGCCAACTTTACAAGATTTTCAACTTTAATAAATTCGAACTCATTTGAGAATTGCTACTGAAGCACTCAATCAATTTCTACTCCTTTTTCGTTTGGAAAGTGGGTTGACTTTTTAACTTTTTGGCATTGTTTAGCTTGAGGTTAAAAAGCCTCGTTCGGGAAGCTTTTTGACTTTTTTGATTTTTTGTAAAAAAAAATAATATAATGATTATGAATTAAATTTGATATTTTTTCTTATTAATTTAAAAAGCTTGTTTTATCTTTTTATGTTAAAATAGCCCCAAACCCAACCCAATCCAACCCAACTCTTCTTCCCAAAAGAAGCCAAGGGGGATTGTTTCGTTTAGATTATCTAAATTGTTTATAATTTTTTTTTTAAATATATGCTAACTTATTTGGTGACAGAAATAATTTAAATAAATCAAAAAATTATTATTTAAATATTAAAAATATATTTTTTTAACTATTACTTTTTTAAAAAACAAACAGAAGAGAGAGAAGGGCATTAAAAATAAAAATAAAAACAAAAAAAAACATAGAAATGGGAAAGATTTAGGAATATTTTCAGGTGTCTTCTAGAAAGAAGGCTTGTAAAAATCTACGAAAACGATTTCGGAATAAAAGTAAAGGGTGAAGCGGGTGGTTTTGCACTGATTCACACGACCACGAGAACGACGTCCACGCAATTTTCCTTGCTGTTGATTTTCTTTTAACAAACATCAATTCACTTCTAGAAGAACGTTTACTCACTATTATTAATTAATAAATAAAAGATGATGGAGACGTGCGCTACAGACAAACAATCCTCCTTCTAGAAACCACAAATGTTAGACAGTGGAAGTTGATTAGTAAAAGTTTTGAATTTTTTTTTTAAAATATGTAAAAAATTAAAGATATGATATAACTTAAAAAAAATTAAAAAATTAACTTTTAACTTAATTACTAAAAGAGGCCTGACTATCTTGTTTGAGATCAACATTTTTAGCTTGATCTTTTTATTATTTTTAATTATTTTAATTTGATTAAAAAAATTATATTTTAAATGATTTTAATTTTTTTTTATAATTGATTTGATAGTTGTGAAAAAAAAAATAATATGATTATATTATAAATGCCACATTTTACATTATTGATTATTTTTATTTTTTTTATTGACTATTTTAACTAAAAAGTTGCATTTCAAATAAGGCCGATTAAAAACTTTAATGGGATTTAAAATTTATTTAAGTTTGATTTGATAAATTTTTTAGCCGATTTAAAACAAGTTTTTGTTGAGTCAAGTTTGAATAGTTTGATATTTTTATATAGTTTTATGCTTATTTAATTGAGCTGAACGAGCAATAACTATTTAAGTTTAATTTGAAAGTTTTAATGAGTTCTACAATGTGTTTAAAATTGACTTATTTACTTAACGAAGTAAGATCTAACTACTTTTTAACAAACTAAATACGAGTCGAGCTCAAGTTATTTGGTTCGTTTATCACCCTTAGTTATGACTTAAGTAATTCTAAC